CCCCGCCCCGTGCCAGGCGACAGCCCTGTCATACTGACACCGCAGTCTCCCGGCGCCGGGGAGTCACGTGCCCGCGGCGTCGCCTCCGAGCCCTCGCTGGATGATTCCAGGGCGCCCCCTCCCAGGGCCCTCCCAGGACCCTCCGCCACTGAGGGAGGTTCCAGAGTCAAGTCGGGGATTCAACTCTGAACTGGACGGAAACTCCAGCAGCGGCAAGAAAAAGAACTTCGGTGGAGAAGTGCCCAGACTCCAATGCGCCGGCCTTGACATTCAAGTTTCCTCTTTGAATTGGGAAGACCGAGAAAAGGCACGGTTAAATCTCACGGTTAGAGACCCACCCATAACTTGCCATTCGTGTGAATTCACAAGGTAGAAATGGACCTTGTGCTACCTATAAAGAGTGTACGTATCAAATAAAATGCCCTGGGAGCTCGTGGATAGGGTTTTTAACCAATCGAAGAAATAACACACAAACATTTAGATGGTCCACTATTATAATAAACCTGATATTTTTTTGGCGTCCTACACATCAAAAAGTGCTTGTTCTTGCCCTGGTCCATGTGGCTCAGTTGGCTGGAGAATCCTCCCATACACCAAAAAGTGGCACATACACAGGTTGTGGTTTCAAACCCCAGTAGGGGCATGTAAGGGAGGTGCTTGCTCTCTCTCTCGCTCGCTCTCAAATCAATAAAGCTTAAATCCTAATTTTTTTTTTTTAAAGTACTTGCTCTTGCACATATCAATTAATTAGCACCTCCTAGCCTCTGGCTGACCCATTTACAGTGGAAAGGATCAAAGCTCTATTTGCTCAAAGTAGCAAGAAATCTTTGGAATCAGAGATGTGGCTCTTCCTCCCATACATACAGGCAGGGCTGGCTTCATGGGAGTAGGACCAGTGCCTACTCTTACCCCCCATGCTTGGCTTAATGTTCCACTCTTCCAGTTCATAAGTTTTGAACAAGGAGGCCCTGCACTTCACTTTGCACTGGGCCACACAGATTATGTGGCAGGTTCCACACACGGGTCCAAGTTGACAGAGTTCCGATTTTTTACCTAGCCAGCCCTCCCCTGCAGAGTTCATGAGGCACCATCATCATCACTCCAGGCAATGTATCCTTGGTTCTTTTTTTTCCCAACTTATTCTCCACCCCATCAGCTACCCACTCTGATAGTTGTCTTCAGATGCATACTTCCTTGAAAAAAATCTATTTTAAAGTAATCAATCCAGATTATTCTAAAAATGTACAACTATCTGTGTTTTCATAAGCTGCACACTCCCATATAACCAGGGCAAAGAGCAAGAAACAAAAACATCAGTACCCCCTCCCCCAACCTCCCTCCTTTCCTTTTCCAGTTACCATAGACTCAAGAGTAGCCACTATTTGACTTCTAACTCCAAGGATCAGCGCTTCCTGCTTGTTCTTGCATTTTATACAACTGGAATCATACATTATATATACTTTCGTGCCTGACTTATTTTGTTCACCATTGATCATGAGATTCATCCACATGTTGTGCGTGGTAGGCAAGAGTTCTAAGATGGGCCCCAAAATTTCATCAGCCGCTCTTGTACACATATTTTCTCAAAGTTAGTCAATGGAACATTAATCTAGGTGCTGCTGTAAAGTAAAGGCATTTTGCAGTTGTAATTAAGGCCCGGTTTTTAAGGAGATTCTCATGTGGTCCTGATCACATGAGCTCTGGGCTTTTCCTGGCAAAAGAGCTTTGAAGTATGAGAGGGATGGACATGAGGGAAGTTCTTCATTGTTGGCTTCAAAGGCAGAGGGGTCCACATGGGAAGAGATGTGCCGACCCCCAGGAGCCTAGATCAGCCCCTGGCTCACAGCCAGCAAGGAAATGAGAGCCAGTCCTCCAATCACAAAAAAGACCCTGAATTCCACTAACAACCTGAATGAACTTGGAAAAGGATCGTGGATGAAAAAGGGGGCCACATACTGAACCTGACAAGCTCAGGGGAGGCCTGCGGGGCAACATTACAGAGACCAAGACCAAAAGGAACCACATAGGATGGTCTGGACATAAAAATTCCTAACTAAAAGTGAGCAGTCATGGCCTAGGCCTATTGCTTCCTTGACAAAGGTCAATCTTTATTTTAACTGAGCCTGTCTATTGACTCTTTGCACCTAAGACAGCAGACCTTTGGAACGTCAGAGTAATTTCCTTTTCCAGACCCTTCAGGACATGCCCACCATCCAGAGAGGCCACAGAACCCCTCTTAGTCATCTTGTTCCCCCAAATCCCATCTCCGTGTGCTGTAAACATTAATTGTTAACCATCCTATACCCACCAATGTAAGAGAAGTATTTATCTCTCCGTTTTACTCTTTACTCAGTCTCAGAGATTTCCCCCTTTGTTTTCTCCTGCCTCCCTAATCTACAACCAACGGATTTCATGTAACCCCTTACATCTTCTTCTTTGATTCTAATATATAACATAAGCTGTAAAACTGCCATTCTCTGGAGCATTTTGCTTCCCAGAAATTATTGTCAGTTTGACTCAAATAAACTCATAAAAATTCTCTACCGGTTTGGACGTTTCATAATTTGAGAGGATCCTGAGCTCCAGCTGCCTACACCTTAACTTCAGCCTGCGAGGCCCTCAGCAGAGAACCCAGCTACATCGTGCCCAGATTTAGGACTTACACACCTGTGAGCTGGTATGTTTTGTTTTCACCCCTAAGTTTATAGTTTGTGGTACTTTGTTTCATAGACACAGAACACTAGCCTGTGTGTTATAGTTTAGATACTTCATAGATATGGTTAAAGTTTGTTCGATCTTATTGCTGTTGGGGTGGGGAACCTTTTTTCTGCCAAGGGCCATTTGGATATCTATAACATCATTCACGGGCCATAAAAAATTATCAACTTAAAAATTAGCCTGCTATATTTGGTCAAACACTTAATTAACTCACCCCTAATGTGAAAGTTGGAACTGCTTTTCTTTGGTGAGGCCTTGGCATGGCCAGACCAAATGATTTCCCAGGCGTATACAGCCCCGGGGCCAGACATTCCCCACCCCTGCATAGCATGCCACTATTGGACCACACATAACCTATTTATCCCTTCTACTGTTGATGGACACCAGGAGTTGTTGCCGTGAACTTCTAGTGCATGTCTTTTGATGAATATGTGAATGCATCTCTGCTGGGTGTTGGTGTTTAGAAGTGAAATGTCTGGGTCATTGTATGTGCAAATGCTCAGTTTTAATGACTATTGTCAAACAGTTTTCCAAAATATAAGTTATTTTTT